TTCTTGCTTCTCACAGGGTCATATCCAGAAGGGGGTGCAGTGATACAATCATCTCCCCACCCCCTTCCCTTTCCACAGTATAGCTCAGTGGCTCTGGCTCTACATAGTCCCAGATGCCTGGGTCCCCTAAGGAGTTAGGCCATGCTGATGGAGTAGTGGCAGGGGAAATTTTTAAGTCCCTAAATCAGCTAAAAATCTTCTCCACTCCCATTAGGTTTTGGCACCCCCTCCCTTCTTCTCCATGCTCAGCAGCACCTCCCCTCCCCTATTTCACCCCCTCCTGCCCCCCGCCTCAGGACATAGGAAGAGACGTTGCCACTGTCCCTGAAGTTGCAGCCCCAGAGCTCGTCTTGTGCCACTTCAGCTGGGAGCTTTGTGGAATGGCTGGGTAGGGAACTGGGCTCAGTCAGGGACAGTAGCAGTGGCAGCTGTGAACAGGTTCCCTCTCCCTGACTGGTCCCCCCCATGTTCCCCACCAACCGAGGAACAGGTGTAGGGAGGGAGGACCCACCTACTGCCACCACTGTCCCCATTCAAGCCTGGTTCCTAACACAGCTGCTCTCTAGTCCCTGCTGGAGCAGGGCAGGTGCAGCCAGGAAAGCAACATCAGTGAGTAGATATCCCCTTCCTGCACCCAGAAGTACAAGCAGAAAGGACGAGGAAGAGAATGGGAGAGGGGTGCAGCTAAGCATGGAGGTGAAACAGAGGGAGTGCCACAATGGTAGCAGTGGCAGTGGAGAGATTCTTAGCTGATCAAGGACTTAAAAACTTCCTTGGCAACTGCTGCCATGGCATGGTCTGCCAGAGGGGACAGGGAGAAGGCTGGGAGCGTGTGTAGCAGGGAGCTGCAGCCAACTCTGCTGTATGATCACTGCCCTCCCCCACCCTACACACACAGCCTTTTCACAATCCTGGATCTGTCTATGGCTCCTCAGTTTCCTTTCAGTCTCATTTTTATTCCACCCTGAAGAGAGGGGATGGAGGACAGGATGCAAACATACACATGGAGATGTCTCAAAGAATGCCACTTACTGGTAAATAACTTCTAACTACTAAGTAGCTGTCTTGCAGATATTGCTTATGTATCAGCTGCAAAGCTCACCTGGCTGCAAGCCAAGTGGATGAGCTGTGCTTAAGAGCTCTACAAGAAATGGCAGCAAAACTTTGCAGAGGATGCATAAGCTTGATCAGACAGGAGAGTATGCAGTGCACGATGCATGCTTCTTACTGGAGCATTTAAATTGTGATCAGAGTCCACATTGCAAACTGGGGGCTCTGATTGGCTGCTACTGAGCCATAAAAGCTGAGGGAGGGGAAAAGAAAAGAAAAAAAAGAAGAGAAGCTCAGAGGAGGGAAGGAGTGGAATCCAGCCCTGGAAAGAGGGAGTGCAGACTTAGCCCAAGCCAGGGGAAACTGAGCTGAAACTTGCCCAGAGAGCAGGCATCAGGACAGGGTTGTCTCATCCCATGAGAAGCTAATTCCCCACCTGATTCAGAGCTGTGCAAGCAGGGACACAGGTGCCAGGGAGAGTGGTGAGGAGTTGGTAAGCAAGGCTGGTAGGTGTGTTGGGGCTGGGAGAAGCAGCAGAGCCCTTAAATGGTTAATGACCGGGCTGTGAGTGGTGTCTGAGTAAGACACTAGGGTGAAATCTGAGCTGGGAAAGCTCAAGCCACAGTCATTGACCTGCAGAGGGAAACCCCTGTCTACAGGTAGATATGCTGGCAAGGGGAAACAGCCCCAAGAGGGAATGGGCTGAGACAAAACAAAGCAGCATGAGTGTGAGAGAGGACACCTAATCACTAGAGTTTGCAGTAAATGTATTTTCAGAAGGAAACTGGTTTAGAGCAGTGCTTCTCAACATGGTGATCCACGGAGCCACTGATCGCCGGTCTGCAGCGAGTTGCCAGGAAAAAAAGAAATATATTTTCAGAAGCATAACATTGATATGTTATAGCGCCACAGTTTGTACGTTCCAACACTCCAGGTGACATCACGTCATGCAAGGTGAGGAAAGAGAAAGAAACAGCCGGTCGCGCATTTGTGTAGTGCTGTTACACACCGTTGCTGCCACCAGCTGAACCGGGCACAGGTCCCTGGCCCACTGGAAAAAAATTGCCGGTCCGCCACATCAGATAGTTTGAGAAGCACTGGTTTAGAGAACAATCTGCTAGTGAAGGAAACAAATGGAGCCTATTGCTTGCAGCAGCTGTTCAGAGCCTGTTTCACTCTGTTACCAGGAATGATTAAGAGAACCCACTTTCCTTCAGTAGCAGCAGCCTCACCTCTGCCATCTAGTGGTAGATCACAGTTATAGCAGTGTTGCTATTTAGTGTTATGGGAAGTAGATTGTGACCAAGAGGAAATCAATTGGGACATGAGGGAAACTCTTTTAAAGGGTTATAATGAGGTGAATTTAGTTATTTAGGTTGTTTAACACAAGTGGGACCACCCAGTGTGCTGGAATTATCCACCTAATTTGTAGTTGTAAATTTATCTAAATTGTAAGTTTTATTAACTATTGTTATTTTTTAAATTATTTTTATGTCTATAAATTAGTTATGTATAACAAAGAATAAAATGTTCATTGGGTTCTGAGTAAATTCATGAATGGTGAGGGTGAGGGACACACCTCTCCATGGGACACCTCAGTCAGTAGTCTGCCTGAGGGGCTCCCAGGACTACTAGCATCCTGAAGACCCAAAATCCAGTGCATCACCTGCCCTTAGCATGACGGCACAGGTTACACTTACAAGAATGGGAAGGGAGGCAGCAGAAGATGCCTGAGCTATAATGCGGGACGTCCATATCACAAAGGACAGGGCCACCATGGCAGTCTCATAACACAATAAAACAGCCCAACAGCCAGTTAGCCTTAAAGCCAAAATCAGTATGCCTCTAGATTATCTGGCTATGGAAACAAACTGAAAATAATAAGCCAAATGCCTCAACCTCGAGCAAATGCAGAGAAGTCTCAGCCCCAAAGAAAACACCTTCAGGGAAACCTGCTGACTCTGAGGAACTCAGAAGCCACCATGGGCAAAAACCTGGAATAAGAACCAATTTCTGCCTCACTTCCCAGACTGCCAATGGAACTAGTGACTTGAATGGGGAAGGCATATAGAAGGCCTGTTGACCACAGAATCAGAAACATACCTGTGAGGAAGCCCAGACTGAGGCCTGTCTCTGGAGCAGAATGACCTACAATTATTGCTTTTCTCTGTTGCAAAGAAGTCTATTGCTGGGTAGCTCCAATCTGCAAAGATGGACTGAAACATTCAGCTATTGATCTCCCATGTAAGATTCATAGAGAAGGCTCTACTAAGGTGGTCTGCCATGATGGTCTATTGTTCTGTGAGAAGCATTGACAAGAGCTGTACATAACGATTGCTTCCCTGCTGAGAGAGGAAGATTTTTTCCCAGTGCTGGTTGTATATGTAAAAGACTAGTGCTGTCCATCAAAATGCAACCCCCCCTAAATACGGTAGAAGCCCTTGCAGGGTTTCTAAATGGCCTTGAACTCCAAGATACTTATGTGGAGCCTTGACTCCTATTAAGTCTTGATCCTGGAGTTCACCTAAATACACTCCCCAACCTATCAGAGATGTCCATCCCTATAGTTCTGGATGGGAGGGGGAAGAGAGAAAAGGCGTACCTTTGCAAACATTGTCTGGATCCTCCCACTAATTTCAGGGAGGGCAGTACCAAGGTAGGAATACTTATTGTCAGGTCCAGGGGGTTCATCAGAATGCTCACCACTGTGAGCCAGGCCTCTTAGACAAAGTCTGACCTTGTCAGTCAAAAAAGCCAAGTGTAGAAAGGTAGAAAAAGGCAAACATAGAAAGTTAAAGAAACATCATTGGAAGTTTCTCAGTTGACAAGGTGAGTTCCCTCAGTAGTTGGAAGCATTCTTGCAGGAGTCAGGCCCTGACTACTACTGAGTCTCACGTGAGTCCTATGCAAACAGTCCTTTGGACCAGGGTCCAGGATAATTTGTGTTTACTGATAGAGATCCAGGAACCAAAAAAGCTCAATGTGGCTCTGCAGAAGACCCCCTTTTGTACCAACCAGTTTTATAGATAGGGTTAAAACATAACACCTCGCTTGCTGAGGTATGCAGCCACCGTGAAGAGAACCTCAGTGAAGACCCTTCAGGTTGCTGACAGGCCAAATGGGAAGACTTCTAGGGCTGTCTGAAACAGCATTTTGTTTCGACTTGTTTCACCGGGACAGTGTTTCATTTAGATTGGTTTCAAAAGCACTGTTCCGTTTCATTTAAACTTTAGCTGTTTCAACTTTTCGCCCATAGGCTTTAATGGTGAAGCGCAAACCTGTCTATAACTTTGTCTTTCTTACCTAATTAGGATGAAACTTGCAGGGATGATAGCTCCTTCTGAGGCCATGAAGCCTACCATGTTTCAAGGAGATAGGTAGAGGGGTTTCTGGGAAACTGTACCTCAAGCTGCTGACAAGCAAAACTCATGACAAGTGTGTCTGTTTGCGTGTTATGGCGCAGCAGGGTGAAAGCTGCAGGGATGGTAACTCCTGCTAAGGACATGAATGAAGCCTGCCAGCTTTCAAGAAGATAGGTACAGGGGCTTCTGGGAAACCACACCTCAAACTGTTCAGAGCAAAATTTGTGTCACTTGTAAGTGTGAAGGCACAGAGAAGCTCAGTTCAAACGGTACTTTTTATGCTGTTTTTCCATCCCTCCTCCAGAGCACTGGGATTGGAAGGGACCTCAGGGAAGGATGACAGTCACTGGACAGCTACACATGTCAATATCAGAACAGTCCTTCCCCTCTTCCCCCTCCCTCTCCTTAGTTTCTCTTTAGCTGCAAGCAAGCCCAGGTTCAAAACCCGAAACATTTCAAAAGTTTCGAACTGTGTCGACTGCCCTCGTTTCGTTTCAAGGCTGTTTCAAAGCCTTTTGTTTTGTTTCGATTTCGCTGTTTCGAGCTCGAAATGAGTTGAAACAAAACAGCCAGTGAAATTTTGCACAGCCCTGCTTTATACTACTAGTGGTCTTGTCCCACAAGAAAATGCAAGTCATCTTGAAATGTGGAAGTACACATCCTGCAAATTGAGAAATGCAAGTCAATCTCTTTTTTATAGTGATGGAATTATGAGAGTCAGAGTCACCATCTTGAATTTGATCTTACAAATAGATGTAGATTTCTTGGAATAACATCCTTCTTTCCTCTTTGGAGCTGGGAAGTAACCATTGTAAAACATTTCTCTCAAAATGTGAAGGACCTTTCTATTGCACCCTTGGCCAGAAGGGATTCATGCTGGAGCAGACTCTTGTGAGCAGGATCCCTGAAAAGGGACAGAAAAGAGGGATTTGAGAGAGGTAATAGCCACATCCACACATGCAGGCATGGGCAGTTTGTGGCACCACAAAAGCAAAAAAAATTCCCAGAAAAAAATGCAGCACAAAGCACTCCAAAAAAGCATGCGATGAGACAAATACAGAGACAGAGGAGAAGGCCGTCCAGAGCTGCCCATTTCCCCCATCTCCGTGCACTGGGGCACAGTGTGTCTCAAGATGGGGGAGCAACCAGCCCTGAGCTAGCTGCTCCCTTGTCTCCATATGCCTCAGCACAGGGATCCACGGAGGAGCACCTGTGCTGAGATGCACAGAGACGGGAGAGCAGACAGCCCTGGGGTGGTTTCTCCCTCATCTCCATATGCCACTCCCCAGCTGGCTGGGGCAAAGGTTGCCTCAATGCAAGGGCTGCCTGCCAACTAGGCACCCTGTATCCCAGCCAGCACCCCCTGGAGCACACGGAGCGCTGGCGCAGCACGCCGAGGACTGGGAGGAGGTGGGCACAAGCAGCTTGCCCACAGTGAGACAATATGTTCCATAATCAAGCACAGGTGCAGGGACATACACTGCAGCACAGATTTGTGCCACTACTATTTGTGCCGTTGCAAACGCACTGCCGTGCTCATCTGGATGTGGCCAATGATGCCCACTGAATGCTATAGCTCATTGCCATTGCAACTAAAGCCCAGAACAGCAAGAAAATTTCCATGAAGTGCCAATGACAGTGTCAGTTGATGGACTGAGGTAGTCCAAGGAGGATATTGGTGCCAGAAAAAAATCTGAATATCTAGGATAAGCTGTCAACCTCATGGTCTTTCCTACCTGGAAAAGTTTAAACTTTACTTCCTTCTTTTTGCATGTTTTGGATTTAAAGGACCATCACCAGATAGAACATCAGTCTGGGATCTGAGAGTCCCCCACACAAAACAAGACATATGGAACATCCACTGCTGTCAGAATTAACTCCATCACCTCAGGGACAGTTCTTAAAGCCAAGAATGGGAAAAGATGCCTCCAAAAGAATTAACTCTTTAGAGGGAAACAAAGCAGAAAGCAGTGAGGCATTATGGCAGCTCCTCACAGCAGGAAAGAGAAAGGCAATGGGGGAAGCGGGTGAGGTGCCTATCCCAGTTAAAATAGCCTTCCCTCTTCCTTTAAAGCAGTAGTTCTTCAACTTTTTTAGGCACAAGGCATCCCTCAGATAATACCAAGTCTTAGTTTGCACTCGTTTTTTGACTATGAAAAAATGATAAGTGCAATTCTTCTGTTTCAAAGAACACAACAGGTCAGCATGTTTTTAATACTACGGATTCCTATTTGAAATCGCTGGGTTTATCTTGTGAATTATGTTTGCACACCTAACAGTGCTAACTTTGCATGGTACCCTGGGGCAATGGCTCTCAAGGCACCCCAGGGTGCTGCAGCACCCTGGTTGAGAACCATTGATTTAAAGAATAGTATAGCACAGAAGTGGCCAACTTGTTGCGTGTGCGCCACACGGATTAGGGAGGGAGCAGGAAGTGCAATAGGGCAGAGAGCAGAAAGCAGAGCAACAGATTGTGCAGGGGAAAGGGATTGAAATGGCATTTGGGGAAGGCTCAAGGCTTACTTTGTGGCACATGTGCCAAAAAGATTGGCCCTAATTGGTATAAAAATAATATCATCATATTAAATTAGGCTAGAAATCTAATTTGTATGCCCTGTATCCCCTGGGTGTGGAACCACAAGGAGAGGCAGAGCCCAGAGTATACTCTACAGGTACTGCTGAGGCATTAATCTCCAACTGAAGGCTCAGAGCATGAGGGACTCCCATCTCTGAGAATATATAGTTTGTGCAACTAGTCACAGGAGAAGGATTATTATCCATATATAAATTTGCGGCTGGGAAACTAACTGAAAAAGAATGAGACCAAGTGATTTGCCTAAAGTCAGAGGCAGGTAGAGGCAAGAACTGAATTCAATTTTCCAGAATCCCAGTCCATCATCCTGTCTTGCTACAGAAGCTGTATTTACAATGTATGACTTAGAAGAATGTGCAAGTGTACAACCCTAAGTTTGAGAACATACTAGAAATATTATTGCCAGTAAAATCATTCTTCTAAGACAGCAGTCAGCAACTAGGACCTAGGGGAAGGGTCTGCTAACACTGCTTTTTCCCATGGTGGCATGAATGAGGAAAGCTGCTGATGCCACTTCTCTCCACAGTGCCTCAGAGAAAGTGATAATTGCCAAAGCTCCCACTGCCAAATGTCACCAAAACCCCACACCTGTAGGCCAAATCAAATGGCTTGGTAGGCCAGATCTGGCCCGTGGGCTGAGGGTTGGCCACCCCTGTTCTAAGACATTCATATGAATAGAGGAATTATCATAGTAGCTCAGATTCTTGAAGGCTCAGATCAAGTGTAGCTTAGACCTATTCTTCAGTCATGATCGTGTCACACAGTCTTATTACTCAGCAGTATCTGCTAGCAGTTGCTCCAATGTAGGGTGCATGGTGGACAATTCATGGACTAATCTATTCTTCAGGAAAATTCCCTCCCACCCTCCAACAGCTAAGGGTCAGTTTATTTTCCAAAATATTTCTATCATTTCCAAAATGCCTGTTGTTCTTCATATGTCATGCATTATCTATGATAAATCATTTTTATAACCCAAATAAATACTTCATCCTTTTTTTGAACATCTATCTGAGTTTTGGCCTCAATGGTATCTGGTAGCAACAAGTTCCACGAACTAATTATGTGTTAAAAGTATTTCCTTCTATTAGTTTTGAGTCTGACATTCGCTGAATGCCTCCAAGAACTTAAATTAACCAACATGAACAGGAGTTTCTAATCTGCCTTCTCTAGACCATTTACTGTGTTAAACATGTGTGTCATGTCTTATTCATCCCCTCTTGATGGTAAACTCTACTAGACTTTTCAATTGCTCTTTACACATGGCTTTTTTCCCTTCAAATTCTAAAGCGCTTCCATTACACATCTCTGAATGCTGCAATTTCTTTGTTGAAAGGGGTCGATCAGTACTGCACAGAGTATGCAGTGGTACTCAACCCTTTTAGACTGGAAGCACCACTTAGAAAATACCTGCTCTTGTTTTTCACTCATTTTTGACTGACGAAAAATAATAGAGCAAAGAACTAAGAAAACCCCAACAGGTTAAAACATTTTTAATGTTGTGGATTTCTAGGGTTTATCTTGTGAATCATATTTGCATATTTAATAGTGCTAACTTTGCTTGGGACCCCGGAGCACCCTTGAAAGTCTCTGAAGGCACCCCAGAGTACCACAACAACCTAGCTGAGAATTTCTGTATTAATGTGCATTATAATGGAATTATAATAGGTTTATATTTTCCTTCTGTTGATTGAAATAAAAAAACTGGAGGAAAAAAGGAAGCAGATTTCTTCCGTAGTTCTAAGATTCCTAGTTTTCTATATACCATTGAAGACAACTGCACTGAAGAAGGTACTTTGCCAAAGGATAACCGCTTCAGCAGTATGAGTCACTAACTGGGCTGATCAGCAGGTCCATCAACTTTGTCATCCCTAGTAAAAAGCTATAAAATCAGAACAGAAGAACTGCTACTGCCAAGGCAGTGCATCCCATCACAGCATACAACTGGAAACTATTATAGCTGCCTTGCACAGCTGTTCCTATGCAGCCATCGTCCGTCACTGTCTGTCCCACACATTACCCATTCCCTTGATGTCCCAACTCACTGTGGTTAGCTATGTTAGCTATCTAAGTCCCAAGAAACAGCTATCCAAATTGCACAATTCACTCCTGAGATGCTTCCATTTGTTAACCAAAGAAAAGTTATTCCTGCACAACCCATTTTATTTCGTCCTTGAGTCTCAGTGCCAAACACAGGAAGGCCCAACAAGGTGACTGAACTCTCTCACCCATTAAACACCAACTCCTCAAAGAAGCTCTTCATAACTTTGCCTCTCCACAGTACCTTCCATCAGATCATCCAGAACAACCTAACAAAAGTCTGTGGCTCAGCTATCCACTATAAATAAGGTGCATCTGAGGCACATCAGTTAAGCAACATAAAGGTCACAACCCAAGGCAATAGCAGATAGCAAGAGACCCCCATAAGCTCCTTGCTCCACTTACTCCAATCAATAATTGGAGGGATGAAGTTGCTTGCATTTCACAGCCAATTAAATTTAAAGTGTTCATGGGGGCTGCTAACCTGTATGTTCAGCCTGAAAGCAAAATGGGAAAAGCACACCAAAAAGGAAAGAGGCTGAAAACTGGTGCAGCTGTTGTTTAATGGCCATAGGCCCGGCCTCTGAACTGAACACTCCTGACGTTCCCTAAAACAGCCTTCTAGAAGGCTGCATGCATGAGAGACGAGAATGGGCTCAATCCAATCCTTGAAGCCAACAGCAGTTCTGCCAGGATTAGTAGTTCAATATCAGGCCCAAAGCCTTTTTTAGCAAATAAGAAAAAGCAGCAGCCTACAAACTCTTTTAGCTTTATTTCAAGGAACTTGGAAGTTCCTCCCCTCCTCCCCACTTAGCTCCTTCCATAAACTCTTTGCATGCAAAGCAGCGTCTCCTGGGTCCCTCATTCTCTCTGGCAAAGTAAACAGACCTCCAGTGTTGCAACAAATGAACAACAAACAAACAGAGAGGGAAGAAAAAAAAACTAGCTGCCAACTTGAGGCTTTTTTCAACATGTTTTATTTTTCAACAGAAAGAAGCCATGTCCCAGGGGTGACCTTGCAAAAAAAGCTTTTTGGCAACCTGACGATACTCTCACACACCCTATCACATGGGCGCATGCATGCTCATAGAGCCTTGGCATTGTTGGCCACATTTTTTTTTTTTCAGAAGTACCGAGGCATCTAAATACCTTTCAAAAAATCTGGCCACGTGTGTAAATATATACATATGGCTCCATCAACATGTTTATTTTCTTTTGTTGTCAGGTTTGTTTGCCTAGTTTGAAGCAAGAGGGAATGTTGTTCTTAGCAGAAT